CTTCATCCCAGCATGCTACAGGCCCAATATCAGTACCCTGGGCCTTTTGGTTATTGAGAAGAAGTTGTTTGAAGATTTTAAGACATAGGACCCATGTGACCTTGAAAGCTGGTCAAGGTCATTCATTTGAACAAACTTGGTAGCCCTTCATCCCAGCATACTACAGGCCCAATATCAGTACCCTGGGCCTTTTGGTTATTGTGAAGAAGTTGTTTGAAGATTTTAAGAAATCGGACTCCAGTGACCTTGAAAGTTGGTCAAGGTCATTTATTTGAACAAACTTGGTAGCCCTTCTTCCCAGCATGCTACAGGCCCAATATCAGTACTCTGGGCCTTTTGGTTATTGAGAAGAAGTTGTTTGAAGATTTTAAGACATCTGACCCCAGTGACCTTGAAAGTGGGTCAAGGTCATTCATTTGAACAAACTTGCTAGCCCTTCATCCCAGCATGCTACAGGCCTAATATCAGTACCCTGGACCTTTGGGTTATTGAGAAGAAGTTGTTTGAAGATTTTAACATATTTGACCCCTGTGACCTTGAAAGTGGGTCAAGGTCATTTATTTTAACAAACTTTGTAGCCCTTCATCCCAGCATGCTACAGGCCTAATATCAGTACTCTGGGCCTTTTGGTTATTGAGAAGAAGTTGTTTAAAGTAAAAAGTTGACGCCGGACAGACGGACGCCGGACGGACGGACGCCGGACGCCGCACCATAACATAAGCTCACTTGCCCTTCGGGCAGGTGAGCTAATTCAATAAATATAACAGAAAGAAATTTCCATTTTTTTGTTTTTGAACCTATTATTATACCTTATTCATGTATATTCCTTTGATCAAATGTAAACCCTTCCCGTCACTTTTTTCACATATCAGACTGGTTTATTTCATATCACACTTTTCGTGTGTGATATTTCCCCAAAGTCACAAGGCACAGAAGGTAGAAATTCACTTAAATGGTGCCCAGTCCTCAATTTGACAGATTTGCTATAGGTAAGCTTGTAACAGGAAAGAGAATAGTCTGCTTCCACCGGGGATCGAACCCACAATATCCAGGTTCCTAGTCAGATGCTCTATCATTGAGCTAAAAGGAAATTCCCGCTAGGTCGAAGCTAAAAGGCGACCTTTATCCTATGTAAAATTAAAACCTGCCACACTATTCCCCCCTTTTTTTAAATGTGTTCGCCCTCGAACATCACAATCCTGGTCACGGCACCATTTGTAACAGGAAAGAGAATAGTGTGCTTCCACTGGGGATCAAACCCACGATCTCCAGGTCCCTAGTTGGACACTCTACCACTGAGCTAAAGGGAAATTCCCTCTAGCTCAAAGCTAGAAGTTGACCATTATCCTATGTAGAATTAAAACCTGTCACAAGCTTGCTTGGTTGGTTGGTTGAAGGGTTTTGCGCCTACATGAATCCGCCCTTATGGGTTTCATCTCACTGACGGAAGTCGGTGTTCTGTCGGCGTGAGGGAAGTTGCCTTCCCCGTCACAAGCTCACCTGTGAATGTTTTAGACAGGTCAGCTTCCTGTAATATTGATAAACTTCAACAAGTTAAAAATAATTATCAAGCAAGATATACATGTATGATCTCATGAATTTGAGGAAGTGATGTCTCGATTCTAAGAATTCTAACAGTGTTTTTGTTACCTAAATTTTACAACAGCCCATTCCTTTATGTATTTGGAAAATATAGCATAACATGCATGTACTTGTATTGAAATTGGGAATATATTCCTCAGTTTTTGGTCATTTTGGGAAAATTAGGCTCTTTTTAGCTAGGGGAAACAGCCTATATTCGGCACTAAAACTGAGCAAAAAAAAGCACCGTCTCATCTGTAGTTGTGGAGGGGGAAATGCCTGACTTCGTCAATGTCCATTCTGGTGTGCCCCAGGGATCGGTCTTCGGACCAAATTTATTTCTTTATTTCATAAACGACATCCCTGTGGGCCTAAACGCTACCATCCGCTTGTTCGCAGACGACACTATCGCTTATCTAGCTGTCAAGTCTAACAGTTATGCTGAAACTCTACAGCAAGACTTGGATAAACTGGCGCTCTGGGAAAAGACATGGAAGATGACCTTCCACCCGAGGAAGTGTAATGTGTTGTCTGTGAACAAGGGAAAAAATACACTTATCCATAATTACATCCTCCATGGGCAAACGCTAGAACATGTAGACCAAGCAAAATACCTGGGTGTTACAATCCAATCTAACTTAAATGGGACTCGCACATAAATAATATTACCAACAAATCAAATTCCACACTTGGCTTCCTCCGTCGAAACTTAAAAACAGGTTCAACATCAGTAAAGGCACAGGCATACAAATCATTAGTCCGTCCATCCCTAGAGTATGCCTGTCCTGTTTGGGACCCATACACCCACGATAACATCAATAAGATTGAAATGGTACAACGCAGGGCTGCTCGTTACGTACTAAACAAAACCGTCTACACTCATAGAACATCCAGTGTCTCCGATATGTTAAACCATCTTAAATGGCGATCCCTTGCCAACAGATGCAAAGACACAAGCCTATATGTATGACGTTCAAAATTGTGAACAATCAGGTAGCTATTAGTAAACACACTAGACTTATACCAGCAACCAGGCATGCCCATCACCAATCCTTCCAAATACCACACTGCAGAACCCAGGTCAGAAAACAATCCTTTTTTCCACGATCAATATCCGAGTGGAATAAGATCCCACCAGATATCATATCCTCCAGTTCTACTACTGAATGTTTTAAATCTGCTCTCCTGTCACTGTACCCTCAAAATTAAATCTATATACATGTACATATCATTTTGGCTTTCTCGGAATGGACTAAATCTCTTTCCCCCTCATGACATTATCTTCAACTTGTTGGTCATTACCATTTAGAAGTAGAAGTAAGAATAAAACGAACGTCATCAACGGAATTCTTATTTCTGTACATTGAATAAATGTATATATTGCTACGATTCAGAAAAAAATGAACGACTTAAAAGAGTAATGCTACTTATTCGAACTAAAATGTAACTATTGGTCCCCTTTATAAAGCAGAATCTTGAGTCTGACAAAGTGTAAACAAGGACCGTCGGCCCCCTTGTCTGCCCTGACAAACGTCCCACAGAGCAGTCGCATGCCGCTACACGCTTTTTAACATATATAACAGGAAAGTGGGACCGAATGGTTAAGCTTTGAAATAATTAATTACAGCAACCTTGAGAAGTTTGTTTACGTTACAGCAAAATTATCCAACCGATGTCCAAGTTCCCAAGTCATGTGGCAAAGCAATCAGAGCACAGTGCGGCGAAAATAAACTATAAAGCGGAAACGGACACGGAAATTACGTTCTATTCCGTAATTTTAACAGAAGGTTTTAGCTCCTTCATAACATTTTTTACGAACGACAATGCAATGTTTAATGCAAACTTTCAAAAAATAGTTCTTATAATAATATAAAAATATGATTGACTAATAATTTAATTGATTAAAAAATAAGTTTGCTAACGTTGACCCAGAAAAAGAAAAAGAAATATGTGTCCTAAATTCCTTTGTAGTAAAATATTTTCATCTCTGTTTGAAATGCTGAAACTTATTTAAATGCTGTAAAAGTATTCTGCTAAATATAAATCTTTAATAGATGTATGCAAGGACGTTCAGTTGTTTCTATGTTTCTAAAAAAAAAAAAAAAATCTGTCTAAGGAAACGAAAAAGAATTAATATACAAAAAACTTAACATAAATAAATGAGTGTCGAACACGTCTTTGTAAATATTGGACATGTATCTATAACTCTGTTGTAGAATATGTTCATCTCTGTAGGAAACTAATTTAAATGTTATCAAAGTACTGTGCAATATATCACTTTCATAGATATACGTATGCAGGTACACGTGGTTGTATTTTATACTGTGAAATGTGTGTATTTGCTTATATTGTGTTGTTTATGTTTATTTAAATTAAGAACAAATAAAAAACAATAAAAAAAATATAATGAAAAATAAATAAACCGATAAATGACTTTATGTGTTACAGATATGAAAATGTAGTTACTTTTTTGTTGGTATTACTATGTTATGCTATATGTGTCTATATGGTGGCATTGTGCTGTGTTTGTCTATAGCTATGAAGACTGAAAAAAGTCTTACATTAAGTTGAAAAGAAGGAAAAGGTATAAATGGACTATTGTTGTAGAATATTCATCTCTGTTTGTTCGAAGAGATAAAATTAATTTAAATGATATCAAGTCTTGTAATATATATTACTTGAGGTGTATGTAAGGATTTACATTTGTAACTATGCTTCTATGTTGATATTTTTTTCTGCCTGTGAAAAAAGAAAAGACAGAAAGTAAAAAAATAAGATAAATAAGTATCTAACATTTCTTAGAAAGTATGGAACAAGTATATAAAAAATTGTTGTAGAATGTATTCATCTCTATTCAAAATGATAAGCTTATAAATAAAATAAAAAATAAAAATACAACATTTGATATAGCGCCCTATCTATCTAACATAAGCCACTCTAAAGCGCTTTACAGTACATAGATATACAATTTTATACAGTCAATACAATTCGCATATATATTAATCAATACAATATTGAGGAATTCGCAGGAGCTGCCTTATCAGGCGTTAACTACTAGTCATATGCCACCTGGCTAATATCTCCCTATGTGTGTATGCATGTGTGTGTGCTGGATATGTATTATCACTAATTCAAATGATATCAACGTTTTGTGATATATATTACTTGGATAGTTTTGTGTATGTAGTTACTTGTACGTTTGTATGTTTAAATGTATGTCTTTAAACATAAAATTAAAGGAATAAAATAGAATAAAAAGTGTCTAACATAAANATAATAAAAATGTTGTAGAAAATGTTCATCTCTGTAGGAAATTATAAAACTAGTTCCAATGTTATTCAAGTATTGTGCTATATATCATTTTACTATATGTATGTTATAGGTATGTGTGTGTTTGTAAAACGATGTTAAATAAGTCTATTTGTTTATATTGTGTTGTTTATGTTTAAAGTACTAAGAAAAAACTGAACATGTAGAATATTTTCCCGTCGTATCATGATGTCGATAACGGCACAACAAATGTTTACCGGATCTGAATGTGTCAGGTCTATAATTATATATATGAACTTTAAATATGTTATGAACAGAGCTCTTCTATCTAAATCACGGAATTAGATTAGATACAAAATTTTGATTCGTTAAAAACATTTTGTGAGGACCATGGTTAATAATAAGTTTGTTTGGTCATTTGATTATGTTAATATATGTTAATCATTAAGTATAGATCTTTATAACTGCCTGTGTGAACTGTGAACATGTTATAAACAAAGCTCTTCTATCTGAGTCGTTGAAAACGTAGTCACTGTATGCTTGAATTTTTATTCATATGGGTGAAAATGGGTACAACAATATCATCGATATTTCTTATTTGTTTTAGTGAATGCCCATTTCATCACCATGGTCATAACAATTATTTTCATGGAAATAATAGCGTGGGAGCAAACAATCAAATACATATCAAACCATCAACTCCCCAATACCACATACGAAACGGAAAATGATCTTGAAAGTGTTACAACATTAACTGCACAGATACTTTGGAAAGTTATTGGAATTTTTGACGAATTGGAGAAAGTGTATTACTTTGAATAAAATGATAAAAAACGATACACAATTTGTTCCAACATAGATTTAGATAGAATGTCGGCTTAAAGTAGGTAAATCGATAAAGTTGGTAGAATTTATACCGGAAACGTGCGTCCGCCATGCTATTTGCGATTAGAGATGCCTTCGGGATCGACCGGCTCTTTAGCATCGTCCACACTGACGGATCGGACATCTTAATTATTTTGAATATAATGAATAAACTTCTACCTAATTTGTTTTGCTCGACCATAATCATTTAATAAGTTAAAAAGTTTAAGAGTCTGTATCATAACACAGACATGCCTTGATCGGGGACTATAAACATCGCAAACACTTAATCCTCGTCCACCATGTCATCTTTATCACTTTGAATGAAATGAACAAACTTCTTGCTCGATTATCAACTTTTCAACGTACGGCCGCCATACTTTTACGATATCATATAATATATCTATGCAGACTGTAACCATCGTCATGCGCACTATGAACGCATCCTGACTGCAAACCACCACGTGGACATGCCGTCGGGGACTTACGAATTTAAACATGTGCTCTATACACGTGGTCCTTTTTCATCATCCACCATGACATCTTTATTACTTTGAATGAAATGAACAAACTTCTTGTTCGACTATCAACTTTCAAATTCGTTTAATAAGTTTAAGACTGTGAATCATAATGTCTATGGAGACTGTAACCATCGTCATGCGCACTATGAGCGAATCATATATCTATATACTTTTTATCGATTATGAAATGTTTCTGACATGCGCACTATGAACGAATCCTATCTGTGTATCATAATGTCTTCGGGGACTTATCAATGCAAACATTGCCACGTGCTCCCTACACGTGGTCCCTTCTATCTATTAAAGCAGCAGTGTGAGATGTACGTGAACATTGTGAGAAGAACAATTATTATTATTGTGCTCCACGACGTCGCGCCAGGAGGGTGCGCAGACCGCCCGTTCCCTATATGGGATAGACTGAAAGTTTTCTGCGTGATTTGACCGATTAGGTATTTTTAGTATTCTACTACAGTTTTGTTAGTTTTTTTTAAATATTTTTGTTTACTTTGAGATTAAATACCTGGTGTTTATTTTTAGAGTTTATACCATGTGTGTGGAGAACGTATTTAGTCTAATTTGGTATGATTGTTTCTTACGTATAGGTTTGTGTGTAAGTATGGGAGATTGTGAGTATTTGTATGTGGTTTCTTTAAAATGATTGTTTCTTACAGATAGGTTTGTGTGTAAGTATGGGAGAATGGTTCATGAGCGACTGGATTCGCATACGACCTTGGAGCTGGACCATGATTCTCTGACTAGAGTCTTCAAATAGTTCGGGCAATGTTTAGCACACTTTTTTTTATTTGGCGCGGTTTTCAAAACGGCAGGGAGAGCACCCGGTAACCTCACGGGTTCCAGAGAAATAAACTGGACATTTTATAATCCTCTTACCCGGACATTTAAATCGCCACCTGAATCGTTTGTAAAAGCAACTCGGTCAACTTCCAAACCTGATTTTATAGGCAATGCTATGTGTACCAATTATCTCTTATGTAATGCTTGTAATCTTTTGTGTAAATAGTGTACATGCAAGGATGGTCAACTGTTGATAATCTTCTTTATGTTGTATATATATATATATATCTTTTAAGTAACTTACCAAATCTTCTTGAAGGATAAAATATTTGTCAGAATCCGTTTCCTGCTATACTTAAAGCTTTTATTATGATTCATTTCCCTATACACAATTTGTGCAATATTTGTTCTGGATACGTAAATTTCATTTTTTTTAAAGAAAAATATCTAATTCAAATTTCTGATTATAATGAAGGATACATACATGTAAAACATACAAAATTACGGAATGCTTTACGTCCATATGCCCTGTCATAACGACATTAAAGTTCCGATTGTAATGCTTGTAATCTTTTGTCAGATTTTGTCTCTAGATATGTTAAATGTTTGTTGTTTTCATTTTCCATCAATAAACAAAATTTTAATTTGAGCCTCCCTCTCTGGGTAAATCCTCCGGATTAATCCGATCTGTCACGTATCTAGTGCTACGTGGACAATGTATAGACTATGACAGGATGTCCACCATCTTCCGGTCAATTCTAGGGTATATCCGCAATCTTTCGTAATCCCTACCCAACTCCACGGCCAAAGTAGGTCCCGGCCAAAGTAGGTACCGCGGCCAAAGGAGGTCACGGCCAAAGTAGGTCACGGCCAAAGTAGGTCCCACGGCCAAAGTAGGTAACACGGCCAAAGTAGGTCCCGGCCAAAGTAGGTACCCCTGTCAAAGTAGTTGCCACGGCCAAAGTAGGTACAACGGTCAAAGTAGGTACCACGATCAAAGTAGGTACCACGCCCAAAGTAGGTACCACGTCCAAAGTAGGTCACGGCCAAAGTAGGTCCCACGGCAAAAGTAGGTACCCTAAGAGGAGCTAATCCCCTACCCGATCATAGTAGGACCTCGTAGTAGTGTACCCTCTTGTAACAAATTCTCAGGTCCCTGTGGGACATTGTTGTGCTACATACGTGTACAATATTTATGTTGGTTGGGGAGGGGCTGCGACTGTAGTTCTGATTGTTCAAAAATTAATATTGTTTTATTAATAGTGTGCTAC